CGCAAAAGCTTTTGTATGACAAAATCTGTTTGCCTACGTCCGACCAATTTAAACACATTCGAAACACGAGCGGACGCGAGTACACAGGGACGAGCGAAAATCCGCTCGAAAATAAGAGAGCTATCAAAAGGAATTCCGAATTTTCAAATCTGATTCCATTCACTGAATCGAGGTTCGCAGGCCTTCGTTGAATTCCACTCGAAAAAGCAATTGCTACGACTCCTATTATGTGGCAGAGCAATTTTCCAGGAATTATACTATTGTCGAACTTCGATATTTTGATTTATAGAAAGCTTGACAATAAATTGATGACATAAGAGTATCAACAAGTAACTCTTATGGGATATCAATTTAAAGCTTGAAGTATCAGGATAATTACTATATATTAACATTTCATAAAATACTTCATGCTTTATCTTCGTATATAGGCTGATTCAAAAGAGGTTGAATATTTTCAGAAGTGCAGATTCTCCATGGCGTGACAAAGAGACAAAAATCTAATTTGCATTAAGAAAATTATATGGACATTTTTATCAAACTTTAAGCTTTAAATTTAAATTGATATATCATAAGTACTATTTCGTAATACTTTTCTGTCACGAAATCCTCTCAGACTCGTTTCAAAATCCACCCCTTATCATGCAACAGTCTAATAATAATAATTCTATCAATTATTTATTTAAAGGAAAGGTGGATATTAGAAAAACGAGGCAAGACGAGTTTTAATTTCTCTACGATGCAAGCCAGTGTTTTCCGTTCACGATGGCTCGCTGTTCGCGAGGCGTGCGCGGAAAATCGATACTCTCACGCCACTCCCTGGCAAAATAACCGAGTCGGAATTTCTGGCCGAACCACGGCAACGACATCGTGTTTATGCAGATGCATTCGACCGGCCGGAAGCACAGAAAGCACCGGCAATAACGTGTAATCGACCACTTGTCTCGTGTGTCTCTTATTGTCTTCTTTCTTACGATCCTCCAGGCTAACCTAAGATATCCTTTCTGCTTCTGAAAAGCAGAATCGTCTTTTCTTATTTCCTTTATGATGACACGTTCTGATTTTGTTGCAGATTGAAACGAGAACTTTCCCAACATCGAATCATTTCAATACGAATTTTTTATTTGAATAATCCACGTTCAAAATGCAATAAAATAATCGGTGCAATTTGAAATTTAAATAATACCAAAAAATATACTTATTGTAAAAGTAATAATATCATATCAGTCTGTGGATACAGTTAATATTTTTGGAACACAAATTTTTAATTAAAGAGTAATCAGATATTAAACGAACACGAAATTAAACAACATGAAACATTTCCCGGGAAAAAAAAACAAAACGTAAAAATTCTCTAATTCGTTCGACGTAAGCTCGCTCGTTTTCAGTCATAATAGTGCCAATTACGAGCAATTTCACGAATTTCGAGGCGCGTAACCGGGGAAAACTGATTAATGGAAACTGGTAGTAGCTGCGGTGTATCGATAACTTCACGCTGGATTTGTCGATGGGAACGAGTATCGATGTAAAAGCCGGCCTTTCCCGTTCGAAAACACGGTTTCGAATTACGGCTGCCTAGCTGCCGCCAACGAAGCGTAAAAATTACACGCGTCCAATGAAAAGCGCTCTAATAAACGCGATTTCATGACGGGGGAAAAGCAAATACACGGGCCTTCGAATCCAATGAAAATCATGAGACTTCACCGACGATTTTTTTTTTCACTCTTCCGTTTTACCAATGTTTGGTACGGGGAGAGAAAGAAAGCTGTGTCGAAACGCTGTGTCACGTCGGTGAAAAATCAAAGCACATCTGCGTTTCAATTCTAAATACGATTAGAGTTAATTAACAATGCATTTGTACGATGGAGGGAAATATAGTGCAAAAACTTTGGATATTTATAGAAAGGCATAGTACGGAGGGAAAATTTTCCAAGTCCTCTATTTCGTCAATTTGGTGAAAGCCTAAGTACCGTGCGTCGCCGACCTTCCGGACGAATCCTTGGTGTCCATAGAGGAGTATGGTGCCAGGAAGACTCTGAGGACCAAGGAAACAGTTTCCAAGTCCCAATTTTATCTACCTAATGGTACAGAAAGCTAAAAATCCAAATTCCCCGGGGTTACCAGAATCAACGACCCGTGTGTCGCCGACCAGTTATCAAAATGATTCGCAGCTTTCAAAATAAAGCGAGCAAATTTCCTCGACTTGGGAATGCAGCGAAGAAAAATATTTCTTTTGAAAAGAAAGTCGACGTTGCGGAGGATATACGAGAGTCGATAAACGTGGTTTGTGTCACGCTGAATATGCGGAAGTTCGGCTTCGATTCTCGTAGGTGAGAGATAAATCGGAAGAAAGGAGAAGAAAAAAGAAGCAAGGAAGACCACCCTCGAGACTGACGACAAGTCAGATGACAATTTCTCGTGGAGATATCCGGCGGGGTCCTTTGTGCGCACGCCCTCGGAAAACAAGCGTCCCTCATCCTTCTTCACGGTGAAGAACAGAAAGAACCACTCAACAAAACGAGCCGAAAGTTTTCCAAGTTGCTGCGAGCTGTTCCAAGTTCCTCGCACGCGAAACGATATCTTTCCAGGACTCGTCTCGAAAGATATCGTTTGATTACCGTGATTCGAATGAAAAGTTTGTTAACCCGGTTTTCCCTCGAGAAAACGACGGAAGAAGCGGAAAGTATCCAAGGAATTTCTCCGTGAGAGCGTAAAAACGCGTCGACTCTTGAGGTAAGAGAAATGTACGATGCTGAAAGTTTTCTTCAGGGCTGTTGTTTCGAACCTTGGTATAGAGAGGGATAATTAGATGAATCTTCTGCTTTCTTTCAAGGTGTTCGAAGATGAACTATGAGGTGTCTAACACCTATAGGGTAAACTATACTAATTATTTAAATTTTATTGCATTCATCAGTGATTCTAAAAATAAGTCACCCTTAAAACTCATCTCGACCATAGTGGCACTATTTTTATTTATATTTTTTTTAAATATACGGTGATTTCCAAAATCAAAGAATTAGGCTAACATATAAAAAAAATCTCGAATAATTTTTTTCCATTATCACTTCATTCTTCGTCCAAGTTAAACACACAAAGGTGTTCGGCGTGAAAACATTGTCACAACAAATGATGACAGCCAGTGTATCCCGTAAATATATATTACACGTTTCACTGTTATGCTATCGTGCATAAATTATGCAAACGAGATCCCCGTCTACCCTAGACACGGAGAACGCACCAAGCTCGAGCGAGCGTGAACGAAGGACACGGGTAATTTTATTCATTAATCTAATGGGACAAAGCTGTTCTAAGAGTGAGTCACGTGTAACGTAAAGCTAACTTCAATTTAACTCATTAGCTCGTGACTACGGTTACAGAGGCGTGGGCGGTGTCAAAGAAACTCGTACATTTTCAAAACATCCGTGTAAAAGCACGAAACCTACCGGAACTTCGTTTATCATAAACCAATTGTACGGATTGTTCGTGATATTTTTGGAAATTTTTGAAAATTCTAATAAGTGGTAATCATGTGTAAAAACAGATGAATTAAAACTTAATCTTTTAGGTTCTATCGAAGGGAACTACCCAAATGTTACGCTAACTTATTAATGAAACTCTGCCATCGTGGAGAGCTCGTCGAGCTGAATACGCCTATACCTCATTTTGGGGGCAGACGGGTAATTGTTTAAAAGATATTAATAATTAAAGTTAGTTACTCCTTACAATATAAAGTATAACAAACGTGAAAATGGTTAGCTCCGTGAGACTATGCGAGCTCCATACTGGAGCCTTTTATCTAGTTTTTTAAATATAGTATCAGTTATCTTTTGTTCGTTATGTTTATTGTACTCTGTAAATATTATTATCTCTGGCACAATAAATATTCGTTTAAAAAAAAAAAAAAAATTAGCTGCGTGGTTAAACGATGACTCGCAATCTAAAGGTGCAGGGTTCAAATCCTTGATTCCCTAACCTTTTTTTTAATGGTAGTTTATTTCTTTTTGACTACCTATTATAGTTGTACTATAGTCACTGCATTTATTAATAATTCATTATATACGTTGCAATTTTTATAGAATTTAAATTATGTTTTCCATCCAATACGTACATTAACATCATTACGGCATCGTATGTTTACTTGCCATTACACACAATTATTTTTTGCAATTTCAGTTTTGATCTTATTTAATCGTGTTATATACAAATTTGCTGTTGTAAAAACAAACAAGCGCGTGTAAATTTATGATGCCGTAGCGATGTTAATGCGTATACTGGATAGATAACATAATTTAAATTCTATAAAAAGTGCAGCGTATGTAATGAATTTTAATGAATTAATAAATAATAGGTACTCAAAAAGAAAGAAACTATCATTGAAAAAAAAATAGATTAGAAATCAAGGATTTGAACCGTGGACCTCTAGCTTGCGAGTAATGTGCTTAACCGCGGGGTAACCGCTTTTTTTTAAATATTGCTTTTTTAAAAGCATGATTTTTTAAATCATATACTTGTCCAAGAACATGAATGCTTCTGGCGGCATAAGCCCTCAGGTTTTAGTTTTTTCTAAATAGGGTTCGAGCTGCAATCGAAGGGGGGCTAACCGTTTCTATGTAAGTTTGTTATACTTCAGAACGTAAGGAGTAACAAACTTTAATTGTTAATATCTTTTAAACAATTAACCTCTACACGGTGGCAGAGTTTCATTAATAAGTGAGCATAACACTTGGGTAGTTCCCCTCGAAAGTGTTTCTTGTAAACGCAAATCCTAATAAAAGATTATTTATGAGATTTAGAAGAAAAAGAAAGAGACTTCCACAATAACGAGCAATAACCGAGGATTAAGAGCAGTAAATGAACATGACACAATACGATCATTTACGTTGGTAACACACGAAAGAGACGAAGTTAATGGCGTTCGAGGGCAACGAAATTGGCCGAGGAAGCGGAAGAAGCTGCCATTAATTATATACGGAACACTGGTATGAAATATCGCCAGAATGCTTGGAATCGCGAGCTCAGCCACTCGACTTTGCACTTGGAATTCGTGAAATCTACAAAAAATTACGATTTTCATACCTGAATGTATAATCTTGACAAATAACCCTTTTGGAAATCTTCTGGGTTACGTTTAGGTAAAATATCGTTAAATTAATTATTTTTTTATATTAATTCAATAACATTAGATTTGTTAAGTTTTCTATCGAAAATTCAAAGTCACAAATTTGGAAAAATGATAAAATCCAGAAAAGATAGAAAAAAAATCAAGAATTCTGAAATTCTTGCAACAAATGCAAACACCCTGACCTTTACAAGAAAATTCATAGCCTGAAAGTTGCGCTTTATTGCACAGCATAAAATTGCACGACTAGCTCTTAATCGGCTTTGATCAAATATCTCTTTCGTAACGCTCGCTCTGAATAATAATCTTCTTATGTAACCACTTTTATGGTATCACGGTTCTTCACCGCCTTGTAATGGCGACAAAATTGCATGTCTCTCAGATCCTGGAATTATTTTCAGATGATTTATGCTCCAGACTTATCGCGTGGACATTGAGAAACGACGTTTTGAAATTATTCAAAAAAATGTGCAAATTGTAATCCAAAAACTACCCTTCCCTAATTTACAAAGAAAATCTAGGAGACAAGTGGCTAACGATCACCACAGGAAAGATATATCCAGTTCCAGAGAAAATAGAACACGGAGATTGAACAATTCAAATCGGTTGTTTCCGTAAACAAGCTGGTTGAAACGAGAGTACATTTATAAAAAGCAACTGTCGCCACCGCGTCGTTGTTGAAAAGAATTGGACGAAACATTACTTGAAAAATTATCGTACAACAAAAGCAGAAGTAACCCTCTCTTCAAAAAGAAAACACTCAATTTCTAGCAGTGTCCAATCTTGACGTACATCAACAAAAAGTGTACAATATTGAACTTTTTATTTCAATATCCATTCTCTTCGCAAGAGAATCGAATCCATCCGAGACAAGTTGAAAATTTCACGCCACTTTCCCGTGGAACAGTCGGAAAATAAAAATGGAAAGAAGCAAATTTGTCGCCCGTCGAATCTGCCGGCCATCTGAATAGAATGTTTGACGAGCAACGAGAAATGAAATTCATCAGGATGTTTCGAAACTGAACGACGTTGAATTAAATTTTCACTCGGCTGCACCTACTTCTCGCTCAAAGGTTTTACGAAATAAAAGAAAAAAGAACTGTACATTTTATAACGACGATCAATTTAAAATTTACATACTATTTTGTAACTCGCGCGTACCGCGCGTTATAACTTCATTTAATACCCGGATGAAACAACTAATAGGTTTGTAGGTAATAAAACGTGCAGGTAATATGAAAAGTTTATGAAACTCCTGACTCTCGAGGTGCTTGTATCATTGTATTATGGCTGCGAGCAATTTGCATGCTTTAAAATCGCAACAAAAGGAATTCATTTAGCTAGGAAGACTGTCCCTGATGAATTTTCACCCTTCGATCGAGAAACAAAATTATTTAATAGAAAATAAAAAAGAATATACCTACGTCAGAAAAAGTAACAAAGAAAAAGAACAAAATTTGTTTGTAAGTTTCTTTTGAAGACTCAAAAGGGATCGAAACAAGGAAAAGGACACAATAGAGAAATCAAACTACTTCAATCTCGTCGAAGAACAAATTCAATGATCAACCCACCGTATCATTCAAGACTTCCCTAAAGGGAAACAAAAAATCACCCCATAACCCAGTAACGACGAGCTCTCCGGTTCGTATTTGTATTTTCCAGGATACAAGAACTACCCTCTGTCATCGTTCAAGAAGACACGTGTAAGAGAGAAAAAAAAAGAGAAGAACGAAAAGTTTCGAAGTCACGTAGCAGAAGAACGCGTGAGAAGGGGGTTGGGAAACAGGAAAAGGGGTGAACGAAGAGGAAGTAGGAAAAAACGAATGAGAGAGGAAAAGAATCGAACATCCTCGTCGTCGACCGATGAAAAAGTCGTCGGTGGCGCCCGCCGGTCTGGCCAATATTTTACTATCCAACACCATCCCTCTGCGAGCCACCCCGTAGCGCCACCATTATCCGACGTTGCTTCTTTTCTAGTGGTGCGGCCAATGGCAACGGGAAAGAGAAAAACGAACGAAGGGACCCAGGCAGATCGAGTCCAGGGTAAAAGGAGAAAATTCGAGAGAGGGATAGAAATGCGCCCAAGGGGTTGTGTACTCGACCACGGTCGATGAAAACCGCCCCGAGATCTCTCTTGGTTTCTTCGCGGAACAGCCATGAGCCACGATGATTCGGGATGCAACGGACAGAAAGAAGTTTCGCGGTTCCTTTCGAGCACGACTTCCGTTCAACGAAACGTAGTCTCTTTTAAGGCGGGGGTTGTTAGACGAAAGGGTGAAAAGGGTAAAGAGGATGGGTCGTTTGACGATGTTGCAACGTTCTGACGAAGGTACTCTTGTCGATTGCGTTGGAAATTTAATTTCGGATCAGCTCGAGCTGAATTTTAACCAATCTTTTTATTCTTTCTATCCTTCCCGCCACTTTATTTAATTAATAAAACTCCTGAAGGTGATAGAATTTTGCTTTATAATTATTATGAAATTGTGCTTCCGATAACACATTTAGTATTTTCTTTTATTCAAACTTTTAAAGATACGTTCATATTTGATTCTCCAACTTGTTCAGTGAAAATGCAATATAAATTAAAGCGCTGTTAATCTGATCGTCGATACGTTCATCGGCAACCTCTTCGAGTTAGTTATGAAATGTTCATAACCGCCCCGTGAAACGAGATAAAATTTTTACGATCAGCAACGAGAGGAGAGACTTTACGCTTTCGCCCGTTCGTGATAAGATACAAAAAGCAATTTCGGTGTCTCTAGCAATAAAACGTTCTTTTGCGGAACGGCAACTTCAGGGGAAATATTTCTCGAAGACCACCACCACCACCGCACAGGTATTCCTCCCGCACCGTATCCAATCAATTTACGAGTCAATGGATAATTTCGTGTTCCGATAGCCGTCCACTCTCACGACTGCCTTCCGTTATTTCCCAAAATTAATCAATCGCGATCGATCATCACCGCTACAACGAATCTCCGATACTACCAGTGAACGTGACCCAAATTCCTGATAATTCAATATTCTCCCATCCATCCTCTCCACCTATATTTCTCTGTATATTATACATGTATGTATGCATGTACGGACGTCACAGGGTGGACAAGAAATACACACGGCATTCTCATCGATTTCCTTCGTCACAGAACACATTCCGTCATTTCAAGAAATGGCATTTTATCGTGGAAAACATTTTACAAAATTGACGGCTTAAAATGGTAAATGATATAGATATGAAAAAAATAAAAATAAGAAATGGTATTTTATCGTGGGAAACATTTTACAAAATTGATGGTTTAAAATGGTAAATGATATAAAATATTTAAAAAAATAGAAATAAGAAAAATTATGCGAATAATTTAATTTTTTCTTCAATGTCCTACCATTTTACATATTTAACCGGACTCGTTTGAACGATCTTTAAAAGGAAGAAACAAGGACAGAGCGTAGTCCAAGGATTCTTTAGGAGAACGTGGGTGTTCAGGATAATTACAGGTGCGCGTGTCAAGCAGCGAACGGACCTAGTTACGATATCCCGCGAATAACGACAACGGCGACGACGTAACCTCGACAAGGAGGAAAGCACACTTATCACATCGTGGCTTCGTAGACGTGTCACCTACGTTACAATTTTATCGCTGGATTATATTCTCTAATGAGCAAGCCGGTCCTCTATGCCCCTTTTACGCACCGTTCTGTCGCGCGACACAACCCCTTGAAACTGCTACCACCCTAACCCCACGAGTCTTTAAAAAAAAAAGAAGAAAAAGCGACGGTCGATATTTCCTTGTGAAAATTTAAGAACTAACTCTGTATCGTGCAGTGGTTCGTTTGATTTTTTTTCTTTATTTAATTTGTTGCATTATCTTTTTGTATGGTTAACAAGCGACTATCTTTAGAAAAAAGAAAGAAGTTTTCTAAGATTCGGAAGCCTCGGGTTCCAATGCTCAGAATTTCTAAGTACCGTCCGTCGCCGACTTTCCGGACAGATCCTTGGTATCTATAGGGGAGTATTGTGCAAGGTGCGAGTTGATTAAAATAATTTCTAAGTAATTTCTATTCCATTAGTTAAGTCGCCAAATTTAGAAATTAATAAGGGCTGACAAAATAAAAATTGAGAGTATCTTCCAATGTATAAATTGAACTAAGAAGAATAAAAGGAAAGATGCTTATGCATGGTGGCGTATGCCAACAAGATTCCACGAAAACTTCTTCGAAACCAACCCTCGTGAAACAAAGGAAAAAAACCACCCCTGTTCGTAGGAAGATTTCTTGGAACGATCCCCTGATTCCAGAACCTTCGAGTTATGTTCACGATGTTTTTCGTGGGATCCTTTCATCCCCTTTGCTCGCAGAGACGATTGTGTCTTCTTTAAGCAAATAAGAAAACGTACCGCTAAACGCGTTTGCTCCCTTTGATCGAGATTTATCATTTTTAATGTTTGAAATATAAAAGAAGGGTGGATCCAGGTAAAGATGAATATATTTCAATTTATCTGAATCGGCAATATAATTTGAGAGTTTTGTAAATAAAACACAGCCAAATATAAAAAAGTATAAAAGATCAGATAATTCACGATTGGCTCGCAATCTCGTTTCTTCTATCAAGGCTCTCCCCTTACGAAGGTAAGTTTATTGGTCTCCCTTTACCTGGGAAAATATTCTCCCTTATTGCAAGAGGGTCTAAGATCCTATCGAACACTGATTCTGCAGCATTCGTGATCACAATGAATGGAACGTTTCAGGCGAATCTCTACCCTGCACTTTCGCGATATTGGAAAGCTGATGCCGCAAGACGATATCACTGAACGTTTAAAATTCACAATCAAACCTCCCCTGATATTGTTGTTAAGCTTTCCCTTCAATCACCATTACGCGAATCCCTTTCGATATAAAGAAAACCGATAATTCACGTAATATAACCACTGAATATTTAAGAGGAAAAAAGAAACTAATACACACGAAATACTTCAAAAAAATGTAATTTCTTCCGTGTCGATTGATTCTCCGTTTCTATGAGAAGAAATGAAGTAACATCAAAGCAGTGAAAAAAATTCCATTTCTCGTTGGAGGGAAATTAGAAAAAGAAGAAACAAGCTTCATAAAGTAATATTACTAAAATTATTTCCAGAATAATTAAAAATCTGGGGCACTATTTTCCAACATTTTTCGACCCTTTATAATAACCAAATTAGCTACATCACAAAAAATGGTAATTTTAATAAGGTATATAAGGAATAAAAAATTTTAATTATTTCTCATAGTAAATAGAATAGTTGATGCGTATCACGGCGGGCCTTTAATAATATTTAGATATCCGCACAATCTAGACAAAAATAACAATTGCTAACAGAATATTACGATGCAGCTGCATTAAAATAAACAAATGCTAAAACAATAAATTATAACTAATAATAACAGTAAATTAATCCAGAAATTCAGAGTCTACTGTACACACTTAGACTAATTGTAAGCTTTTGGTCTAAGCCTCTAGTTCAAGTTCCTAGTTTAAACTTCTAATTCAGCTCCTAATCTACACCGCAGTTCTAAGCTCCTTAGCCTAAAATTCTTGTTAACTCTGCGCGTTAAGAATAAACAATCGCAATGCATAATACTCCAGCTTGTGAGAAAATTAAAAAATGAATTACACGCGTAGAAAATATTCTTCCGATAGCAACAATAGGTTGGAACAATGGAGCAATAACATGCATCTCATCAAGGCTGCATATTCTAAACACGTAACAAAGTACGGACCTCGCCTAACATAGCTGATCGAAAAGCAAGTAAATTATAGGAAACGACAATTGAAAATGCGTGGATCGAACGGGCCGTACGAAGGATGACGATTTACGGGTCATGCGTTGAGTCAATGGATGATGCCCACGCTTTGCAACGCGTGAGAACAAATCACGGATTACGACACTTGCCAGCGATTTAACGGCTATTAAAAGCGAACTTCGGAGAAAGGATTACCGAGTGGATTAACAGGATCTCTAGGATAAATAGCGTAGCCTGCACTGGACCCGACCTACATCCTGAGCTCGCGTTTTCGAAAAACAAAGAGGGACAACTTGTATTTCGATGTACTTCAACAAC